CAACTCTGAGAAAATACCTCATCATGGTTCGTACTTATGGAATCGGCTCCGCACCAAAATGCAGTGCTGTCGCAGGTCCACTGGTCACTTTACAGCCCTTTTACCCGACGACGAGGAACGGGCGAAAGTTGATCAGTTCAACTATGTCGGCAACTACACTGATATCAACACATGATTGCCAAAGTTGCTTTGTGTATAACGAACCCGGGACTAATTTTATGAATTCTTGACAGCTTTGGCTCCAGAAGACTGCCCTTTGAGCTTATAGGTCACAAAAGAACGACAGTGATGGACCGGTCTGGGAACTTTCGAGTTTTCGTACATTTGACCCTAGTTGTTTACCGAGTGTTGAGTTGCGTCATCGTGTTCGCGAGGTTGGGATGTGTACATTTCGGCACTAAACAATTCTGTTAGCCGCACAAATATGCTCCGGTCCGTAGCCCTAAGGATTACGAGCCCGCCTTGTAATCCGAGGGCGCGGGTTCGAGCCTGAGTGGTGGACTAGGTAACCCTTGCACAGTAACCTTAGCTCACGTGCGATTGGTGATGGCTGCGCGGCAACAAAGCGTCGGTACTGTGTTCCGGTGGTGCTGATGATGCACAGGCTGGACCTTACCGTGGTTCGATAGTTTGTATGCCTCGGTGATCCATTGAGCTATACTGGATGGTGCTTTTTTTGCACCTTCAGAGCCACTCATACCAGATTGGTCAATGGTTAGAGGCCAGACAAACTTAGTCTCCTGGTCCTCCAGGTTGGGGGGTTGGTATGAGGGTGGCTCCTTATTCCTTAAAACGGACTCCTTATAGTCCAACGCCAAACCCGCTGCCTTGCGGTCAGGTTTTTGAACCAAAGGCTTTGGTTGAGAATCCTAATCGTTCTCCTGTCTAGGCCTGGGCAACCTGACAGTATTCTGCCCACGCAATACAATGAACCCTTCGTCAAACAATTTCTTGATGCTCTGGCCGTCGCAGAGGATAATCAACGGTGCCCTATCTGCTGCATCGAGCGGGGTGGATACGGGGTATGGATGCTACTGCTCAGGCCTTCCCATCTTCTAATTCCCTCTCTTACGCTTTTTCTCTTACCGTCCCATTCCAGCTTCACTTTTATCCCCTCTGTTTACAACCCCCAATTCTTGGCCCTCTCCCACCTTGCTTCAATAATCGCTTGTCTTCTAGTTTCAAATCACACACAGTCGCAGAGCATCGCTCCAATCCAGCCGACAAGTCCATATTCAACCAAGCGGACTTCAGTTCATCCGTTTCCCTTTGGAGTCCTCGTGTCTCGCTAAGACTGGTATGCCTCAACGTGTGCACTTCGCTACACATTGGGCAACAGACAGCACTTGCCCGCATACTAGAGACCCTATCGATCGATATTTTCTGTTTATCAGAAATCCACCTGCAAGATCCGAGCTCCATGGTTACCATTCGATCACCCACATGCGACATTGGCGGCAGATTCTCATTGCGCCTGTATGGCTATGATGCAGCTTCAAATGCTGGTCAAGTTGGCGTCGGCATTGTTTTGAATCCCCTGGCTGAAGCTGCCCTGATCGATTGGATCCCAGTAAACAGTAGGATGTGCGCCGTTAGATTAGCTGGTTCGTTCCGTGTTACGAAGTCGCGCGGGGACAAATGGTGCCTGTTTGTCCCTGCGGCCTATGCCCCTACAAACTGTAGCACTGGTTCGGTAAAAGATGATTTCTATCAGCAACTTCACGAACTCTTTCGTTACGGAGGAAGCACGAATACTGTGGTGTTGACTGGCGATTTAAACGCCCAAGTCGGAAAATTGTCCTCTGATGAGCCTCATCTGGGCGGCCAATTTAGTGTGGGACCCCTTAATGATAACGATGTGCGATTGCTACAGCTGTGTGAAGACGCTCATCTCTTTCTCGCGAGCACTAACTTTTGACACAGCACCTGCAGAAGCGTGACTTGGCGGCCACGAGCCTCGGGTCAGCCATGGACGCAAATCGATCATATCGCGATAAGTGACCGCTGGAGAGGCTGTGTCCAAAACTGTCGCTCGATTTGGAGTACGAGCGTGGACTCTGACCACCCACTTATCTGCGCTGACATACGGGTGCGTTTCGGTGGACGTCCGCAACGTCGATCTGAACGGATTGACACCAGGCATCTGGCGAAGCCAGATGTTCTGAATGTGTATCAAAGTGCGCTGACATCTGGGCTGAGTAAGCGCCCACTGAACGCCGTCGAAGATCACAGGTCGCATATTCGTAAAACGTTACTGTTAGCAGGCATGTCTTCATGTGGCAAAGCAAATTGTCAAACCGGACATTGGAGCTCTACACAGTCTCTGGAACTTATGGATGCTCGCCGACGTATTCTGGCTGGAAGCGAATACAATGAGGCTCGCAAAAATCTCAGAGCAAACTATGTGCTAGCCTGAAGAAAGACCGCAAAACCTGGTGGTCTCATCGTGCCTCTGAGATGGAAATAGCCGCTACAGTTAGCAATCATCGTAAGTTATTCCGTGTGATACGGGAAACTAGCAGCAGTAGACCTGGTGTTAGGGAGTCCATACGCCACGAGAGTGGGCAACCGATCCACAGCCTGTCAAAACGCTTGAAGCGTTGGGCTGAACACTGCAAGGCAATTTAATCAAACTGAGTTATCGTTTTCTTTTTCGGGCATTGAGCGTCCTTCTCCCTGGGCCGTCTCCTTGGATCCGCCCTCACGCGCAGAAGTCGAACGTGAGATCAGGCTGTTGAAATTACATAAGGCCGCAGGGGCAGATAGAATTCCCCCAGCCCTCTTCAAATTCAGGGGACCTGCTCTAATAGATGATTTACACGAGTTGCTAGTAAGACTTTGGGAGCAGGAGACTGTCCCGACAAACTGAAACCTCTCCATCATTGTCCCGATTGTCCCGTTTGTTATGCGGCAATCATAGAGGGATCAGTCTGATTTCGATTGCCTCTAAATTGCTTGCCTCTGTCATTCTCCACAGACTGACTGGCACCCGTGAAAGCCAGATTCGTAAAGAGCAAGCCGGATTTCGTCGACGTCGTGGCTGCATTGATCACATCTACGCCTTGCTTCAATTGCTGGAGCACCGCCATGTTTATTGGCGACCCACTTTTGTCGTGTTTCGTGACATAAAAGGTGCCTTCGGCTCAGTCGATCGACGTGCGCTTTGAGACCGTATGCTGAGGAAGAGTGTGCCTGATAAATATGTAAACATTATCAAAGCGCTGTACGCGCATAGTTCGAGCAGAGTGAGGGTTTATGGCAAACTGTCGCCACCCTTCAGTATCACCAGCGGTGTGAGACAAGATTGCCCGCTATCACCTTTCCTCTTCAACTTCGCTATTGATGAAGTCATGGAGACAGCGTTCGCTTGACACGATCTAGAAGGTGTGGAGCTACTTCCTGGTGAGCGACTTCTTGACTTAGAGTATACGGACGATATTACCCTAATCTGTGACAGCTCCCATATATTCCAAGCAGCACTGGACCGATTAACACTGGCTGTCAATCGTTTTGGGTTATGCTTTGTTCCATCGAAATGCATAGTACTTCTCCAAGATTGGCAATGACCCAACCCTGTGCTTACGCTTGGTGGTGATCTGCTAGAAGTCGTTCAGGAATTCAATTATATAGGTAGCTATATTAGCATCCGTGGGATTGAAGATGAGGTTACGAACCATATAGCAAACCTCGAGGGGCTTTTGGCAATCTCTGCCACCTGTGGCGCAGACGCGACATTACTCTCGCCCTGAAGGGCAGAGTTTACAACGCAGCCGTCCGTTCAACCCTCCTATATGGTTGTGAAACCTGACCCATCAGGTCAACAGACATAAAGAGGCTCGTCATATTTGATCATCGCTGCCTTCGCAGCTTAGCTCATGTCTGGTGGGAGCACCGCGTGAGCAGTGAGCGTGTTCGGCGTCGCGTATTTGATGCAGGAAGAGCGAGTGAATCGCTCAGCACGATTATATCACACACCAGGCTCCGATGGTTGGGCCACGTGTTGCGCATGCCAGCACACCGACTTCCGCGACGTGCATTGTTTGCGCGTTGTGAGTGCGGTTGGAAGAGGAGGAGGGGAGGCCAAGTGATGATTTGGTCGAGAGAGATGAAAACCCTCACTTCGAAGTTGGCGTCGGTTGGTGCATCCCGACTGCCTGGTTGGGTTCCTAAGGACGGTGAACACGTTTGGTTAGACACACTTGCTGATATGGCTTGGAGCCGGCCCCAATGGCGTTTGTGTTGTGAGTTCCTTTGTCCATCCCTCTCCTGCTTAGCATCCCCCTCCAATCACGATCTCACTCGTTAGACATACGACTCTTTTTACGGCAAGATAGCCAGCTGTTAGCTCTCCGGAACGATGTCCATCCGTTACTGGGTACTCAGCCGGCGTGCCATTGCTTTTCTTTTCTTGTCTTTTGTATTGCGGCACAATAGCTGAGGTGTTTTCCATCTGCAGTTAATGTGTATAATGATGATGATGCAGAAATAGGGCAGGATAATGCCCTTGTTCGAAGATATGTTGTGTTTATCAGCTAACCACACACTGGGTAGTTTGTTCTCTGACTGATTTAACAATGGAAAACAAAGTCAATGGTCACCAGACCAGATGCTGCTGATTAGAGCAAGGTCCGCCCTCATTCCTGACATCACGGAACACGGCAGATAATGGACCAACGACATATCTCTACAACTTATATGCTTGCTGGAAAAAGCACGTGGGATCAGATTCACTCGAAGTGGGATCATTAAGGGCTAACATCCCTACTTGATGACAACCTGCTTGAAGTCGATTGTGGATTGGAGCGTTTTAGCTGATAGATCGCCATCTCAAGCATACACGCGCAAGATGCTCATATTCGAATGATTGTTAAAATGACATACACTGCTTGTTACTGCACAGCTACAATCCTCACTAACTTTGCTCTGAGCAACACTTTACAACGGAACTTTAACCAAAAATTTTAGCCTATCTGTCCTCACATCCTTCCTTTTAATTGCTAGAAAACAACGCACCGATTTCACACATGAGCACGTCCGACGCAGGAGACTGGTGCCTGATAGAAAGCGACCCGGGTGTCTTCACTGAACTTATCAAAGGATTTGGTAAGTCATTCTTCCAGTGTTATTTGGGTCTGCAGGCGCCAAAGGATTGGAATGCGATGAGGTTTACGATTTAAAAGAAACTGACTCTGTATCCGACGCGTTTGGCCTCATATTTCTTTTCAAATGGGATGGTAAGAAAAATTCCGAAGAGACATATGTGGAGGATGCACGAACAAGGGGCTTGTTTTTCGCTAAACAAGTTGTTTGCATTGTTTTATACCTCACGTTGCAGGTTATTACAAACGCTTGCGCGACGCAAGCCATTATTAACATTCTTTTGAACATCGATGAAAGCAAATTTGAATTAGGCGAAACACTGAAACAGTTTAAAACGTTTGTTGCTGACTTCGATAGTACAGTGCGCTAAAATCCTATGATAACTCCCTCTTAGATGAAAGGCGCAGCATTGAGCAACTCAGATCAGATACGCGCGGTTCACAACAGTTTCAGCAGGTTAGTTGGATTCATCCCTCATTCCCACTTCAGTTTCCAAATTTTTGAATTTACTGGAAAACGTTCGAGACCGGGGGAAGAGGTGTACCATTTTGTTGGATATCTGCCAGTTGGTGGTGTGCTGTATGAGCTGGACGGATTAAAGGATGGCCCTATCGACCATGGTAAAATCCCGGAAGGCATTTCATGGTTAAATTTTGCCCGACCCCTCTTAGAGGAGCGCATGCAAAAGTGCGTTGATGGTAATTTCAATTTGATGGCGGTCGTTCCTCAACGGTTATCGATATATGAACGGCAATTGGCTCAATTAAAAGCAAGCACAAAAGACGTGAGTTGTTTTCACATTTCGGCACTCCCTATAAATTCGTTACACCTTCCCAATGTTACTGGTCTAACTGAACAATGAATCAGTAGCCTTTACTAACCGTTGACTTCAGTTGTTTGTTTTAAGAGAGAATCGTGTTGATTATATTCCCTGCCACTGTTAATGAGGATCTCCGAAACTGCAGTCTCCCACGAAGAGTGCATGAGCCCACACAACATTTAAAGACAAAATGTGCATTGTTGCGTTTCATCCACTGCTGCTACCTGAATCTGAGGCATAGCTATCGCGTGTTGAGCTCATCAAGAGGCTGTTTCTACCCGTATCGTATTGCTCAGGCTCGATATCGCCACTGGTCAAGTAGTGCTGCAATCCTCCGTTTGATGCCTAACAAGAAAAATGTCTGCGTCGACGTGAACCGTCCTAATGCCCATCGTCTACACCAGTTACTCTTACGCGGTTATCACCTACATTCGTTGGCTGAACGATCTTTCAGACTGATCAGGCGATATGACGCCTGGCGGAAAGTGACCAGACGCTGAGCCGCGTTTGTTGAAAATACTATACGTGCGACCAGATACCGTTTCCACGAGGGGGTGGTCCAAATGTCGGTAGCACCGTTGCGTCGAATTCTTTGGTACTAATGGATCATTTGATATTTATATCAGTTTTCTAGCTCCTCCCGACAAATTTCATCCTTCAGAAATTTCATACAATAATCCCCCTCCGCAAATTTCAAAATGATAAGAAAGAACAACATTTCGGCGGGATAATCAACTATTTTGTATATTCTCGTCAACTGGGTTGCAAACAGAGACATTAAAGGTGTAACGCCATTGGTGAACCGTAAAGGGTCAAAGTTCATCTGACGCTGGCCAGCATTCCGCTTAGAGGAATGTGGCCACCTACTTCTCCAAGGCAAGGCGAGACTGGCGACGAACTCGGTCTGTTTACACAAAGTGGGTTTCAGCCGCCTAATTGCCGAAGCCTCAGCGAACTGAAGCAGGCGGGCGGCGCTCTGTCGGTTGATTATCTTAGATGATTTACACATGTGGCATCATCATCATTATACACGCTAGTTAGAGGTGGGAAACACCTCAGCTACTGTGCCGCAATACATAGAAGAAAAAAATGCAACAGGTGCAAGCCAACTGAGGTACCAATAACGGATGGGCATCATTCCGGTAAGCTCCCAGCCGGCTATTATGCTACAAAAAAATTACTATGCAAAGTTAGACAAGGCTAAATAGTGAGATAGTGGTTGGAGGGGGAGGTTAAGAAGAATGGGGTGGGACAAAGAAACTCACAGCACGAACGCCGCTGAGATCGGCTCTTAGCCATGTCAGCAAGTGTATCCAGCCAAAAGTGTTCATCATCTTTCAGACCCTAATCAGGGAGCCGAGACGCTCCAACTGAGTCCAGCTCCGAAGTGAGGGCCTCCATTCTTCTCCACCAAGTCATCGCTTGGCCACCTCTCCTCTTCTTCCATCCACATCCCCGGCACGCACACAACGCACGTCGCGGGAGTCGGTGGGCCGACATGCGTAACACGTGGTTGAGCCTGGTGCGTGAAATGACGGTGCTGAGCGGTTCAGTTCCTTTTCCTCTGCCATAAACAAGGCGTCGAACACGCTCGTTGCTAACTCTGTGTTCCCACCAGATGTGTGCTAGATTGCGAAGGCACCGGTTGTTGAAGGTAACTAGCCTCTTTAGGTCCATTGATCTAAGAGGCCAAGTTTCACAACCGTATAGTATGGTCGAACGTACCGCTGTATGGTACACTCTACCCTTCAGGACGAGAGTGATGCCGCGCCGACGCCATAAGTGGCGAAGGTTAGCAAAAGCGCACGGAGCTTTTGCTATACGGTTCGTGATTTCATCTTCAATCCCACGGGCGCTGATACAACTTCCCAGGTAGTTGAATTTTTGAACGACTTCTAGCTGATCCCCACCAAGGGTCAGCGTAGGAGGCGGTCCAGGCCAAACTTGGAGCAACGCTTTGCACTTCGAGGCTGCGAAGCGAAGCCCGAAGTGACCGACAACCAGTGCTAATCTGTCTTGTGCCGCTTGGCACGTTTGTGAGCTGGCACAGATTAGGGCAATGTCATCAGCACACTCCTCCTGGTAGCAGATCCACACCTTCTAAGTCATGTCCTGTGAACGTGGTTACCATGACTTCATCAATAGCGAAGTTGAAGAGGTAAAGTGACAGCGGGCATCCTTGTCTCACCGCTGGAGATATTAAAGGGCGACGACAGCTTGCCGTAAGCCCTAACTCTGCCCGAGCTACGCGCGTATAATGCTCGGATAGTATTTGCATATTTCTCAGGTACACCTTTCTTGAGTAGGCAGTCCCAGAGTGCACGTCTATCCACCGAATCGAATGCACCTTTGATATCGAGAAACACGACAATGGTGAGTCGCCAATATGTGTGACGGTGCTCCGACCACTGACGCAAGGTGAAGATGTGGTCAATGCAGCCACGACCTCGACGAAACCTGGCTTGCTCTTCACGAATCTGGCTTTCATGAGTGCCAGTCAGTCTGTGAAGGATGACAGAGGCGAGCAATTTGGAGGCGATGCAAATCAAACTGATTCCTCTATGACTGCCGCAATCTGATCGCGACCCTCCCTTGAAAATTAGGACTATGACGGAGCGGCTCTAGTTGGTTGGAACAGTTGCCTGTTCCCATAGCTGCACTATTAACTCGTGTAAATCATCCATAAGAGCAGGTCCCCCGAATTTGAAGAGTGCTAGAGGAAGATTATCTGGTCCCGCGGCTTTATGTAACTTCAACAGTCCGATCTCACGTTTGACTTCTGAGCGAGAGAGTGGATCCAAGGGGACAGCCCAGGGAGCGGGGCGATCATTGCCCGGCGATAAATCTAACAATTCCGGCCGATTAAATTGCCTTTCACAATGCTCAGCCTAACGCTTCAAGCGTTGTGGATAGGCTGTCCACTCACGTCACGTATAGTTTAACTAACACCAGGTCTCCTGCTGCTCGTTTCTCGTATCAGCCGGAATAACTTACGATGGTTACCAAGGGCAGCGGCCATTTCTATCTCTGATGCACGATGAGACCACCAGGATTCGCGGTCTCTCTTCAGGCTAGCAAGGAAAAAAAAATGAAATGTGTCAGCTTATACGCCGTAACGGCGCTTCGCTGCCGCGCGACCACCACCAGTCGCGCGCGGGCTGAGTATACCGCGAGGACGCCCACCCCTACGCGGATTCGAACCGGTGACCTTATGGTTGGAAAGCAAACGTGCCAACCACTCGGCCACCGGCCGAAAAGCAAGGAGTTTTGCCCGGAGCACTTTGCGAATTTCATTGTGTTCGCTTCCAGCCTTAATATGTCGGCGAGCATCGATAAGTTCCAGAGACTGAGATTTCTTCTCAATCTCAATGTCCGTGTTGGCGATTACTTACCACATAAGGATTTTCTTGCTGTTAGTAAGGTCTGGTGAATATGAGACCACTGAACTTCAATTGAATCCAGTGAGCGCTTATTTAACTCACATGACAGCGTGCTTTGATAAGCATTCAGAACAGCTGGCTTCGCCAGTTGGCTGGTGTCAATGCGTTCACAACGTCGTCGTGGTTGTCCACCAGGTCAACACATACAAGTGCATGGTCGATGTCTGCACATGTGCTCCAAATCGAGCGACAGTTCTGGACGCAGCCTCTCCATCGGTAACTTATCGCAATGTGATGGATTTGCGTCGATAGCTGGTTCGAGGCTGGTGGGCGCCAAGTCACACTCCGGCGGGCGCTGTGTCGGAAATTATTGCTCGCAAGTAATAAACGAGCATCCTCACACAAATGAAGTAACCGCTCACCGTTATCATTACGGGAGCCTACACTCTGTTGGCCGACCAGATGCAGTTCATTAGTGGATAGTTTTCCAACTTGAGCGTTCAGATCACCAGCTAGCACTACAGTGTCCGTGCTTCTACTGCGGCGAAGGAGCTGGGTCAGTTGATGATAGAAATCGTCTTTTACTGAGTCATCGCTACAATTTGTGGGTGCATAGGCAGCGATAACGAATAGACACCTGTTGGTCCCGCGCGACTTCGAAGCTTTGAACGAGCCAGCCAATCGGACCGCACACATCCGGCTACTGATTGGGATCCAATCAACCAGAGTAGCTTCAGTCCGGGGGTACTCAGGGCAATACCAACACCGGCTTGACCGGTACTCAAAGCTGCATCGTCATCGGATAGGCGCAATGAGAAAGTGCTGCTAGTGTCACCTGAAGGGGATCGCAAAGTGAGCACGGGTCTCCGATAAGCAGCAGATATCGATCGAGAGGGTCCCTAATGTTCGGGCAATTGCTGCCTGTTGACCGATCTGAAGCAATGTGGGAACATTGAGGCATGCCAATCTGAAGAAAGATCGAGGGCTCCAAATGGAAATGGAACTGGAATGGGCCGCTTGCTTGGACATGGGCCTGTTGATAGGGCAGGAATGACGCTCCGCGTTCACGTGTGAATTGAAACTAAAAGACAAGCGATTATTGAAGCAAAGTGGAGGAGGGCCAAGATTTGGGGGTTCAAAACCGTGGGGATAAAAATGACGCTGGAACGGGACGATAAGGGTGAAAAAGCGTAAGGGGGGAATAAGAAGACGGGAAGGCTTGAGCAGTAGCATCCAAACCCCTATCCACACTGCTTGATGCAGCAGACAGGGCACCGTTGATTATCCTCTGCGGTGGTCAGAGCATCAAGAAACTGTTTAAAAAGAAATTCACTGTAAAAACCTTTAAGTTATCTTTTTTGAGAGCTCGAAGCAATACTCAGTAGCTTGACACTTATCTAGATCCAGTCAGTATTTCAAACAGCGTATCAAATCCATCCCAATAATAACAGCGACTGGAATTCTATCAGCGACATTAAACTCGTGACTGAACTTCTCGTTGGCAATATCAACCCGTGCAGTTATAGATTCCCGGACAACCAGGGATTCTCCGTTAGACGGTAACGGCAAGGTCACACCTACCGG